GCTGGCCATTGGGCTGGGGGTGTGATCAGAGCCGCAGGGGTAGGCGTCCAGAGTGTTCTAATAGTGGGGACACAGCAGAAGACAGTCAGTGCGTGTCATGTTCAGGTAACAAGCAGGTTGGGTCCAAAAAATAAATAACACACACCATATACTGCATGTGAAATATAAAGTATACTGCTTGTTTTGTGCTACTAGAATTACCGCCCCGCAGTTGTATGCCTCTGACAACCGGTCAAGCTGCAGTTTATATCCATGTCTGTCCAGAACGGCACAGTTAGAAAGGCTTTAGTTAACAGGTGCAGCAACACAGAAAGGCTCTCCAACATCACAAACCAACAGGTAGGTCTGAAATGAGGGGGTCATTTGGGTCCACTGGTAATACTAGTCCCATGCAAATTGGGCTATTGTTGTATCCCATTAAACATCTTTGTGACATTCTATCATAATTGCCGCATCAATTCTTGAGTGATGGCCAAAACCAAATTCTAATCAGTTCATCCTTGAGTCCAAGTACACACGTGCATATCTGAAGAAATTCCCTAAAGATATCGTGTTCACAAGCATGAGAAGGACGCATGGAGGCATAAAAAGTTAAATTTGTTATTCATTTCTCAGCAAGTAAGCCAGTTACCAAAAATAAAGCAGTAGTGTTCCTAGTGTGGTAAGAAGTAAAATCCCAGCAGGATTTATTGTTGAGGAGTTGGGGTTCGAGAACAAGCTATCACTGGATTCCAGCGACTTCTACACTCTGTGCTTTAAAGTTTATGGGTTATTTGTTTTTTCTTCCAGTCTGGCAGTGGGGAGTCTTTGCTCTGGCTGCACGGTTGTTGTTTTTTGTATGAGAAGGTTTGAAAGCGGGGTCATTGCTTCATCATTGGTAGTCTTAACAATAGGAAGTAGAGGCAATGAACCTGAGAGCTCTGCCTGGACTTCTTGTTTTGATGGATTGCATGCAGTTGGCTGGTGTGTTGTTATGAATGGACTCCTTATTCGACCTGCTATTACAAAACAGAGATTGCTGATATACCAGCATTGCTGAACTTCCATCACATACATACTTCCCCACGGCTGCCAGCTTTTAACTTGGTTGTAATAACTTAACTATAGAGTGTCCAAACAGCTATATATAGGCCTCAGTGAGTATTGATTAAGTTAACCATGGGGAGTGAAGAAGAGTTTAGACTGCCTGTTTTGTCCACATCATGAGAACCCAACCATTAGAGGAAAACAAGCAGGGGTGACTGCGTGCTAAGAATAGCCCCAAACGACATTATGACTCCTGAAATAGTTATGAAGTTATGACGTCCAATCTAGGAACAAGGCCTGGAAGCTTAAAGGCTGGTGTGTCACTGACTGCCCTGGCCCATGGATGCCCATAGTGGATGATTACACCGTAATGACACAGGCTGCAGAGCGCTGGGCGGGCTGCAATCATCTGGACATTTAGCCGTAAACACTGAGGGCACTAATAACCATGTGGGAGTGAGAGAAGAGATGGCAAAAGTTTAATTTCGGCTCCTAATGTTCAGTAGAAGTCCTGATAGTCCTAAAGTCAATAACAAAGCGCGTTCCCCAGAGCTTAGAGCTTGCGTGAGAGTCCGTCCCTGGTGCAGATGGACTGTCCTGGCAAAGACTGAACAGGGATGAAGCTGCTTTGGTGCTGTTTGTGTACAGGGATCTAATTGAGATTTGACATCTTGATGACACTGTAAATCTCTTTTCAGCTCTAAATTTCTCATCACTGTCCCCTTCTAGCCATATGGTGTGCTTTGGCTCCGCCTTTTTTTTTGAACCTTCACTTCACAAAGGCAAATATTCATATATGTCCCACCGACTCGCACCCTAAATGTTCCCTCTTCTTTCATTTTTCTTCTGCTCCCCTGTGCATCTCTATCCCTTAACATCTTATTCTTTTTCTCCTTCAGAGCTTTGTGTCTGCCTGGTGTTTCTTTATCCAGTCCTTGTCAGGCCTTGTTAAACATTACCCCCCAACCCCACCCCACTAAGTACAGCTAATGCCGCAGATCGATCTCTCCCTGACCAGCAATTCTATTAAATTACACTGCCCGCGCTGCCGTCTCCCCTCGAGCCAATCTGTTGTACGCGTCTGCACAGGTTGAGGGGTCGGTGCTGCTCTGCGTCCTCAACACAGGAGGAAGTGATAATGGAGGAGGATAGCCCCAGAATGTCCATCCAAACACACACACATGAATACACCACATAAAGTTAGGCTTTCCAGATATGGTGTTATGAGAGAGCCAATCTAATTCAATCCCTCCTCCACAGCATTACATCTGCCTATTACAAAAAATATCAAATCTAATTTCATCTCATACAAAGGTCACTTTGCTGGAGTAGGACGGCCCTGGACAGCTTCAGATTCATGGCACCAGCTTTGGCAGATGAAAGCCTTTATTCAGTATAGTCATCAAAGGAAAAATACTCCTCTAAAAAGAAAGAAAATTGGAGAGCATGTTCTTCTGTAAACAGAACAATGAAAACAAGGAGGAGAATGTCAAATATACTGCGTTATTTAGTGACTTGTTCACAGTGTCTGCCTTATGTAAAAAGAAAACATACTCCAATATAAAACACTGAGGGGGAGAAGGAAACACTCTCTTACAATACAAGGCCATTTTTATTCTTCTTATTCTTATAGGCATTCATTCTTAGCATGACACACAAACATACAATTACACACACTGACACATGGGAGTGGAGCGGAGTAACTGCTATCGGGTTCAGTATGTTGCCCACTGTGCGGTTACACTGGAGAAAGTGACTGTAAGTGCCTCACACAAGTAAATCTCAGGTGAGGGGTAGTTACTGAGGGCAGGGGAATGATTCAGGATCAGAAACACAGACTAGACATGAAAACTATTAGGGTTGTCAGTTTGTATTGAAAATTCAAACTACTATTCATTAATATTTAACGAATATTAATATTTATGATTTTTCTGAATTAAAAAGCCTATAAGCACAACATGCTGTGTCTTGTGCTACAGCGGGGGAAGTCATTCTGACCCACTGCATGTCCTGATGCGGTGTCAATAAGCTAGCGTATTGTTGTTCACTAATGCAATATGGACAAAACTAGCAAGCAACATCGAATGGATAATCTAAAATAATATTTCTGCAGTGTTTGATTGTAGATGTGGGCCAGCTAACCTGAAACAAAAACAGTTAAATTGCAATTGCTAAATCTGGCAATACCAGAACATCTTAGCATCTTATTTCAAGGACACACCTTGAAACAATGCTCTCCTCCATTCTCCTTTACAGTGAAACAAACTGGAGATATAGAGAATGGCTTTGTAACAAGGAGAGAGCTTTTTAAAACAATGAAAATGGATGTTCCAAGCAATGTTATATGGTAAGACAGGGTTTACAAGCACACAACTTCTGCATGCTGAAGATGTCACTGTCCTAAATACTTTTATTTAAACTCTTTAAACTGTTTCTACCCAGTTTTAGCAAAGCTGAGAGTAAGTTGTCAGTCTATAATGAGCGAAGCATTGAGAGACTAGAAACTTCTATATATATATATATATATATATATTCAATGAGTGGGGCTATTGTTTAGGTCAGTGGTTCTCAAACTGGGGGTCGCGAGATCATTTTTGGGGGTCGACAAATGGTGGTGGAGAATGAAATAAAATAACATATTGTGGCCAGCAGCGTGGAATGAGAGACAGGAAGCAGCTCATAGCAATGTCATCCCTACAATGACATTCAACACAGGAGACAAGAACTCACAGTATACTATAGGCTATATACACTGTTTTTATACATGTTAACAGGCCCAGTTACATCAGTAATATGATAATGTCCTAAGCAGACATGTTCACTCTTGACTTTGAAGGTGCCGTTACTTCAATAAATCTAAAAGAATGAATCAGTTGTTCTATCTGTGGGCAAAGCAACGGTCTTTTTGTGTGAGTTTGTTTGCTTTCATATGTTGTGTTACACAGGAGGGGGGTCGCAAACACCAACCTGATTTTTCTTAGGGGTTGCGACTCTAAAAGGTTGCTAAATTAATCACAAATACAGCGTGTCAGGATCTGAGTGCCTAACCACCTCTACAAAACAATTTCCTGGGGAAAGCCTGAAATCATGATACCAAAGGATCTGAGAAGCAATGAGTGGAAGCATTTTGGCTTTGACACCATCGGCAGAAGAACCGTTGATAATTTAGCCAAAATGGGCAGTATATGAAGGGGGCGTGTCACAACAGTTAAGTTTAAATACATTTACATTCATACTTTCTTACTCATGAAATGTTTTTAATAGATGTTTTTTGTCCTCTCTCTTTATTTTCAGTCTGTGCTGCATGAGTCTCTAATTTCAGGAGGTTATTTAAGAAAATGTGGGACTCTGCTCAGTTTGACTCTGATGAAGACACATCTGGGGTTGAAATATTAGTCATTCAATAAAGTTTGTTCCAGTGTACTTTGGACCTCCAAAAGCTGAAGCCATTTGCTGCTTTTTAAAGGTGGAACTGCCTTACAGTTAAGTTACCATGGCATAGTTTATGATAGGCTACGTGGGTTGCATTCTAATAGATTTGAACCAATCATAGTAGTACTAATTATACTAGTGACAGCCCTGATAAATGTATGACAGGTAAGCACAGAAATAAGGAATCAGTCTGTTGAACTCACCTCTGGCAGGTTGGCACAGTTGGATTTGACTTCGTACTCGATGTACGCTGCCTCCACTCCTGCCTCTTTACCCATCTGAGTGTAGCACAGGTCTCTGGTGGAGTTAATCCTGCGGTCCACATCTTCAAGGTTAAACATGCAGAGGGCCGAGTCCTCGCTGGGCCGAGTCGATGAAGCCAAACGAGTGGAGAAGACACCAAGAAGAGTTTCTGAGCCTTGGGTCACCACACCATCCTTGGTGAGCCCAAGCTGGACAGCTTGCAAGAGGTTGTAGATTTTTCCTGCCCTGGAACGGCATGTCAAGGGTACTTCCACGTAGGAGTAATAGGCCTGATCATCCAAACAAACACGAGAGATGTAGGTGCGATACTCGCGTGACTGTGACTTTAGATCCCGCCGGTAGAAGAGGAAGTATACATGCTGACGGTGGGCGAAAGATGCAACAAAATGATGGTCGTATTCTGAGAGACGGCCAGCCACAGCCAACTTGGCAGTCTCCTCATAAGAAAAGACGGGGTCCTGTGCAAGGTTTCGTGTGGAAATAGGTGGGTGGCTGCTGGTGTAACCCCGCCCCACAAACAGTACTGGCTGCCTGTCAGGATGAGAGCGAACCACGAGTCCCACCGTGCTAACATTGGGGTGGTTAGCTGCGACATATTGAGTATCCACTGGCCTCTCTGTGGAGAAGAGTACCACATTCACAGAATCCAGACTACGTTTCTGGCAAATTCCTTGGTTGACGCTCCCGCAGGTAATAAGCTCCATTGAATAAGGGTCGACCAGCAGGAGCTTGTTGTGGTTGCTGGTGGCCTTAGCCTGAGGGCAGTTGCTCTCAGTTACAGGAGGTAAGCACTCCCGGCTGTCTGTGACAGGTCCAGTGTCATCCTGGAGTTCAGGTTGGAGGAATCGATCCAGCTGGAACAGGTGATCCCGGGCCCCGACATAGACCCGACTCACACTGGGGTCAGGATGCAGGGCCAAGTGCTCGAACAGAGTGTCATTCCGGACAAAGGTGGGATAAAGACTCGGGGGGAAGGAGTGTGATGCTTGGACAACACCCCTAAGTAATGAGGGGAAGGGCCAGCCAATGGCTAGCAGCAGGAGAGACAGCAGTGTTTGGACTGCTAACACTGAAAGACGACGCACCATCCCCGGAGGCATGGTAGCAGAGCTGAGGGAAAGAAGACAGGACAGGTTGTTAGAAAGTATGTCTATATTCAGTAGAACAGGGTTTTTTTATAAATAATAAATAAATTCATTATTCTTGGTAAATGGTAAATGGACCTGTACTTGTATCAGCCCGCCCTTTCTAGTCTTCCCGACCACTCAAAGCGCTTTTCACACTACGTGCCACATTCACCCTTTCATCACACACATTCACGTCCAGTGATGGCAAAGCTGCCACTCGAACACGAAACTCAATCAGTTTCATACACATTCACACCCGATCGCTATGCCATCAGGGAGCAATTTCGGGGTCAGTATCTTGCTCCAAGGAATACTCGACACATGTGGGCAGGAGGAGCCGGGATCGAACCAACAACCTTACGATTAGTGGACGACCCACTCTGCCTCTGAGCTACAGCCGCCCCTTTTTTTATGTATATATATAGTTTATTGTCTGCACTGTACATACCATAGCAGAGATGGTGAAATGGATTCTAATACAGTTTTTAATTCAGACCATTTCAAGTAAATTATTAAAACTGATTCCCAAGCATGGAGCAGACCAGTACCAGGCCACAGAACATTTGTTACCAGTAGGGCTGTATCACAATACAGGGGTTATAATTTAATATATTACAATACTCTAAGCAAGGCGATATATTGATATTAAAAAAAAAGTCTAATTTCTAATTTCTAAAAGTGGCACACCATATGCATAAAATCTGAATTAAAAAAAAGTTTACTTTTGTATGTAACCAAAATAGTGGGATCTGTATTTCTAATTGTCACAGTCCCTGTAGCATGCAACATAACAGCCCTCCATTTACATTTACAACACTGGTATCTACCTGTTGGGGATTTAAACACATAAATCAAGTTCTTCAGAATTGATACAATATTACAAAACAAAATACTGTATTTTTCTATATTTTCTAACATCCCAGGCTACAAGAAAGTGATGAGATGCATTACTGTGAGGTGTTTAAACTAGGTTATCAGTATGTGATGCCCGATAAGCTATTTTATCTGCATTGCTGTATTCCTTTAACTGTTGCAAAAAGCTAGCTAATGCTGTGATCAGAGCCCTCTCTGCTGGAGCCACTGTGTCTATGTGTCATTAGGCAGCCATAGGGTCATGAACTCTTGCTGTGACATGGCTGAGAGACATGGTAGACTACACGCTGGACCAATGATAACTTTTGGTTTTTCATGTTCATTGGTGAATGGAAAGCAAGAGCCAGGAGACTGACTCTGTTTACATGCCAGCATCGACAACATCAGAAAACTGCCCTGTACTCTTGTACGTCAACAACATACAACACCACATTGCAGAAACAGTCAAACTAGGCGAGATATGGCAAAAAAAATTGACACATTCATCTGTTTGTCAGGGATGAAACAAGCATTTCTGACCCTCGACACCCAACGTCTGTCAATCAGGACGTTATCCGGCTGATAACGTCTGGTTTAATCCCAGCACTAAGTAAAATACAAGCTTCAGCGCAAGTAGGACAGATAAACGCCCTTACCTGTGATATATAAAACTCAACGTTTGTAACAATGTTGACAGTAAAAACAAAAAACTCATGGCTGGGGAATCCAGCTTTAGAAGCCGCACAAAGACCAGTGGAAAACCCAAAGAGGACCTGTATCGGGCAGGGGTTCCAAAACTTTTTCATCTTAAGGACCCCCACGATAGATTATGTCTTAAGGAATCCTCTCTGAGTATTTTTTTTATTTTTAGGTTCACTGTGGTTTAGGATCACTATAAATTACAATGAAAATGGCCAATCCTCTCTTTCTTTTCTGCCAAATGGGATAAGAGTAAAAATATTCCCTTCCTCGTTTTGTTGGTCACACTCTACAATCAACTCAGGGTCCCCCTGTCAGTCCCTGACCCCAGTTGGAAAACCATAGATATGCAGTTCAGTTCCTATAGTACACTGTAATATAATAGTATATGGGCCAAGCAAACTGATCCCACAACCTATTATGTTAAGTAAAAGAGAGTGCAAAGAAGTCTGATTTTTCTGCAGATAACCATATCAGGACAACTAATAAAACTATTGTTAGATAATAAAACATTAATCACTTCTATTTTAATCAATGACTATACTAAGAATCATTCAGCAGTGTAAACAACCTCAGGAGGACTCCTTCAGCATAATAAATTGTGACATCCTCACCATTTGTTTCCAGTGGTGTTTCACAGAGGCATGTCACCTCTTGACCTCCCAGCAGCTCGGGTTTAAAAGCACATCCTCCTGGACACAACCTGCAACACAAAAGGAAAAAGGAGATACATCAGTACACTAAGACACCTGAGTGATTTATGGCAGCAAATGCAGAGATGACAAACCTCAGCCTAAAAGACATTACTGCAGACCAACAACACGCTCTCACAACTTGTATTTTTTGGCATCACTGCAGTCCATTAAAAGTCGTGGGAAGCTCATACCCATTGAAATTCCTGTCAGACCTGTGTCTGACTGGTTACATCCGTTTTTGGGAGTAAAAAAGCCCTCAGCAGAGGCCAAGTCAAGTAGTGTCAGTCCAAGAGGGCTTTCAGTGCCACACACACTCTGCCCCACTATACAATCCTCCCTCATTGCTAGGATACAAGGTACAAAACCCTTTGGTTTCACAGTCCCTGCCAGAAAAACAAGCTGCTGTGAGGTAAAAGAAGATGGCATGAGAACCTTGAGAGGGATAGCGTTCCCTTGTTTGGGCACCTGAATCTCTGGTTTCACGCTTACTTTGAGAAATACTGCAATGTCTCTTCTGGTTATGACTGCTAAATTACACTCAATTCTCCTTTGAATTCCATATACAGTATATCCTCCTCTTTCCTGCTCAATATCTCCCTCCTCTTTCTATCCACCTCTCCTCCTCCATCGCCTCCCAACACTCCATCACTGGCAAAGAAGCAGGATTATCTCTTACGGGTTTAGGCGGATCTCCAGTGGGCTTATCCAAAGGGAAGGTTGGAAAAAAAAGACGAAGACAGACTGAAAAAGACACTATTCACCTCACTGAACCGGCCTATCCTCATACAGTGTACACACACACACACACCTCTTTCCCTGCCACAGTAGGAGCACTAGAAAGCTTGCTTTGTTGGTGGCAATCTCCTGTGTGTGGGAATGAGGGTAAAGGCCTGGCAACAGGCCAAAGACGGAAAGAAAGGACACAAAAAAAAACTACTAGAGCACAATAATTATGATCATTGTTATCGATATAATTTTAACCAAATGCAATTTAATTCTAAAACTCCTCGACAGGAAATTCCCTGCAAATGTTTTTTTCCACTTGATGGCATGCTCATGTAGAACTATCATCAGTTCCAACACAAGCAGAGGCACAGGGGTCAAACAGACTGACTGATGCCTCTGTGACTGACCCCGAATCATCAGATCTAAACCAAAAGACAGACTTTGTCCTTTGACCCCTGGGGGTGGGGAGAGCCAGTTTTCAATACTTGGTTCAAAGCTGCAACTCTGAGGCTAAAGAGCCTGAACTCTGCAGTCAGCATGTCACGACTCTCTGGTGGAAAAAGCGCTTTACAGCCCTGTGCAGATAATCCTGAGAAAGCAGCGGTCCGGAGCCTAACGGAGCACAGGCAGGAATGACTGGCATGTTAACTCGTAGAAACACTAGTTCAACAAATACAGCACTTCTCCTGTTTCCTCCTCTAGCCAACGGCGTCTGCAAGCTTGATGTATATTACTCCATCATGGGTGACAGTGTCCGATTTGAGCACAGGGTTGTCGTCTCCAATAACTCTCAAAATTTTGCAGCCTGTCACTCCATTTATCCAAGAGTAACAGGCAATTCAGGTCCTCACCTATCTTAATTTGCTGAAAGCTGCAAAGTAAATAGCCAAAAACTACAGTAAACTGGGCTGCCTTCACTCCGGGACAACCTCATTTGGAAGAGGTTTCCCTTTCCTGCAGTGAATAATCCAATCAGACTCAACTTCATTCAGAGTTTGAGACACATGAGAACAAGAGAATGGACTTTGATTCAATCCTCACACGTTAAAAATCACATTTCGCCTCAGAGTGGAAGTCTTTTAAATGGGGGGGTGACTTCAGCAAGCCAAAAGGTATCAGTGAGAATGATGAGAAGAGAGAGAGGAAATGTTTGCCTGTAATTGCTTTATCTTTACTTCTAGGTAATGGACTCCAATGTGTTCCAGCACTTGCTGCAGAAATAGTAACTTAACTCAGTTCATATGATAGGATATAGTGTGTATTCCAACAAAATACACTGGACAGTTTGACAAATAAAACTTGATATATAAGAAGGCATGTGAAATAAGGACCATGGTCAGGACACATTTCAAGATAAGTGACACTTTATAACTCCTGATGAAAAAGCTGAATGCAAGTTCCACAAATTCACTTTATTATGCTACGCATCCTTGTCAGTAGTCAACACAATGTTTTTTCCAAACATAAAAGCATTATGTCCATCAACAAACTGCAATGTAGTTCTCCTGGAAGGTTGCTGACACTTTGCTCAACGCAAAGGGATTCTTATCACCTGGGATATGCTAAAAACAAATGTGTTCTAAGTAGGGCTGAGCAATTTTATCGATCCTGCGATATATATCGATATTTTGTTTCCCCAGAAAGTATCGATTTTTCAGCCACTCGAGTAACAACATTTAAGCCCAATTCAAATCCCCCGTGCGTTCCGCCTGCACTGTTGCTCACCTGCCCGTTCCCCCGTGTGCGCTTTGCAGGAAGCCGATTAGGTCAACAGCCGCTATGTCGCTCTAAGAGCATTTCTAAGCAAAGCGTTACCCCTAGAATCCCCTTACACAGACGCCGACGTCTCTTCTTCCCTGGCCTTAAACTTACTCGCAAGACGGACATTTAAGTAAATTTTACAATGTTTCTAGTGACTAAATGCGTTGAGAAGCCATGTACTATGTTTACTTACCTGGGGCTAACGCTACCTCATATGTCTGTCAAGCCAAAAAAGGCGTCCAAGAGAATCTGTTCAGAACAGCCACTTTTGCTGCACTTTTTTAACCAAGATTCAAGAATCTCAAGAAAGCTTATATCCTGAGGGAAATACTAGTCAACAGTTTGGCAATACAAAGTGGGAAAGCTAAGACAGGTTAAGATAAAATAAACTAACATAAAATAAAAAAATAAATAAAAGGCTACATAAAATATAATCAAACAATTAACTAAAATGCAACAAAATGCAAGCACTACAGGTAACATACCAGTAGAAAAAAAAGCCTCCTATTGTTTCATTTGTAATCGGCACTTATTTACTTTTCAAAAGGCTTGTAAGCACAATTTTGGCACCGTTTCAATAAAATGAAACTAATTATAATAATTAATCTTAATACAGCACACTTTGATTCATTTTGTCGTATCGTGGCTAAATATCGTGACATACTATTGTAGTGACGAAGTTCCGTGTATGTGATCGATCGTCATCGTGAATTCGAGTGTAACGCTACACCCTAGCTCTAAAGGCCTGTTCGAGACAGACATTTTTAGCACGGTGAGAAAAAAATGCCAGCCTCTCCCTTAATTCATGTCAACACCACTGCAGCACTGGTTAGCACAGCATGTAAGTCTAGGAGAATGCCACACCTGTCCAACACACCCTGTTACCTGGAAAGTTAAAGCAAGCTAACACTTGAAACCAAACGTCAAATAAAAGACAGATTCTCTGGTTTGAACATCAAGGGAAACATGTGAATAATTAAACACAACTCAACTATGTAAGAACATAGCTCAGAGTTCATAGATATTTAAATGATAGTTACATATTATATCTAATAACTTACTGACAGAGCACGATATTATCGGTAGTAAATATCAGCCAATAGCAGGAAAATAGAATCATTCGAATATCAGGAAATTAATACTAAACATGCGTAGATTACAGATGCATTCACAATAGGGGGTCCATTAATAATGAGATTCTTATACACTCAAATAGCACAATTGGAACCTTCCTTAAAATTCCCAGCATGACGGCTACATGGTTATGCGCTTCTAGCGATATATATACGAATTCACAACCACCGTTGTTCTCCTTGCCCTTGCCTGAAAGAGTCCAGCGGTAACCAAAGATCATTCAAGCTCCATCAAATAACTGATGGCCACTGAAGAAGCGGGCCCACGCCAACTGATCGAGATTCAACGCGGAGATGTTCAACCAAAGCTTGAACTCCGACCAGGATCACAGAACGAACAGATAGTGGACTAAAACGCACTTCTCTGAACCCAGACTACCATCCACGTTCAGAGGACAGGTATCGAGAGGGATCCCGGACCCAAGCTGGCAGGAAC